GATTATGGTTTTTTGAATGGTCTGAATGGAATACTAACGATGTGGAACAGTGTAACCGTTAAATGAGTGATGGTTATTTTGTATCTTATTATTTGCGTAGGCAACAGAAATCATCATCTAAAAATACTGGAAAAGCGTTTTTTCCAAGAAATTAGAGTGAACCACGAAAATGACGCAGGAACATAATTATTGTTATATTCCCTGAAAAATCCACCTCGTTTTCTTCAGATGAAAGACCGCAGCATTCAATATAGCCCATATTTCTTGATATTTCCATTTCCATGGTGAAAAATAAACGCAACTGACAACCACAGCATACTAAAGCTGATAATCTGACGCCATATGCAAATCTTTCTCTGAATTAGCAATATTAATGAAGAACAATCATCTCAGTCCCTCGTGAAACACGACCGTTTGTTGTAGGAGGCAAAGGTCGCGTGAAATTTGGATCAAATACGTGCCGCGTGAGATGTTGCACGGCATAATAGATTCAGTGAACCTACGTACTTCCAGGCAGTGCATTTTCTGTGATAATCGGCTGCCTTTGCTTCCGGCACTTGCAAAATAAGCAATCAAAGTACAGTACTAAACTTAAATGACATATGTTATACGATACTTTTTAATATGTCGCAGGAATTCGGCAACTTCCCCCAGAATATGGAAGCTTAAACTTTTTGAAGAAATCCTCTGTTGAAAAACTGATTTATCAAGTCAAAAACAGAATAACTAACAATTCAACATGGGTTCATCGAAGTGTAACGTGGTTTCAAAATCTCCGATGTTACCTGTATAAAAATATATCTCTAACTTGAATACAATATTCATTTTGATACAATAGTCCGCGTTCTTAGTCTCTGATCCATCCAAGCTGCGAAACACCAACGGGGTTCGGTGAGCGATTTTCAAGGCGTCGGCAAAAGGAGGGGTCGTTCATAAATGATCCTTCTCGAAATCAAAAACACGAAAACTACCGAATGAGTGGTTGTCGGGTCGGTGCCGTTCTTTATTGGTGATCCCACAGTAAACAGTGATCACTACCGATCCACGGAAGTCATAAATTAGTATAAAGTACTAGTTAGAAATAATCAGCATTTAAAGTTAGGGTTAAAAATTTAAATAGTGTTATAGAATAGTGGTGCAGGCAGAAGGCGTTACCTCTGAAAAGTAAGCGCTATTGTTAAGTTGCCCAAAAATTCACATAATAATTTTTTGATTCATCAACCGAATACGCTAGTAAAGGGCGAACACGAAATTATTGCGACACCGAAAATGTCATGCCAATTTTTTTATAATGTTTAGAATCAAACCAAAATTTAAGGGTAGTTTTATACATATATTTACTTCAAAAATCAAAAGAAAAGTTAATCGATGGAGCCTTGAGTGTAAAATTGAACGCATTTTCGCTTGATGCCCTCCATCAAAGTCTTTACAGTGTCATCCGGTACCAGTTTCTCAGTTTTTTTTTTTCCATTTTCTTAACATGTCCTTCTCGTCTTTGACTGTCTTCTTGCTCTTCCGAAGTTCTCGCTTCATTATTGCCCAGTACTGCTCCACCGGGCGCAGCTCCGGACAGTTTGGCGGATTCATGTCCTTTGAAAAAAAAAATGGACAGAATTGGCCTCATACCACTCCAGGACACTTTTAGAATAGTGGCATGATGCCAAATCTGGCCAAAATAGCGGAGCTTCGTCGTGCTGCTACAAGAACGGCAAAAGGCGCTTCTCGAGGCACTCAGATTTGTAGATCTCGCCATTTACTGTGCCCTTTGTCACGAAAGGCTCACTCCTCAGTCCGCAAAAGCAGATGGCCTGCCAAATGAGATATTTGGAGGCGAACTTCGACATTTTCTTCTTCTTAAATTTGTCGTCCACATCGAACTTGCTCTTGCCGGTGAAAAACTCCAACCCCGGAATTTGCTTAAAATCGGCTTTTACATACGTTTCGTCGTCCATCACACAGCAGCCATATTTTGTCAGCATCTTCTCGTAGAGCTTCCGTGCCCGAGTTTTAGCCGTCGAATGTTGCCGCTCATCGCGGTTTGGGAAGTTCTGTACCTTGTATGTATGTAGTCCAGCTCTCTTCTTTGCATTCTGGACGTAGTTCTGCGACATGCCGATCTTTTTAGCCAAATCACGGCTTGAGACGTTGGGATTTGCTTTAATCATCCGCTTCACCTTTCCCTCCGTCTTTTTGTTCTCCGGTCCCGGTTTTCTTCCAGCTGCTTTGCCGTGGTCAAACGTCAACCGCTCCTGGAACCGCTTCAACACTCTGGAGACGGTTGAATGGTGAATGTTCAACATTTTTCCCAACTACCGGTGCGACAGGTCAGGAAATTCCAGGTGTTTGGAACACGACTTCGAGTTTGACAGCATGTACACAATACACATCAACGAAAAAGTGTGCAAAATTTGGTTGATTTTTACCCAATGTAAAAAAGTTATGCCCTGTTGAATGTGTCGCAATAATTTCGTGTTCGCCCTTTAGTACGCTAAGACTGAGAATCTGTTCGCATTGTGAAGCCACAAGTTTGAAACCAGAGGTAACTATAAATCTGCGACAACGTATAGCAGAACTTAACTTTGTTTTGAAATAAGTTCGAATAACTCCTTCGAACCAAGGTGCCACCCCTAGGTTAAACCTTCCACGGGACACGTCGAAGTGACACCCACGTGCGACAGCAGGAGACACTCCAAAAACATACCATTTTGGCCGTGTGCAACATCAGACAAACGGGGCGACACGTGTGCGACGTTTGCATGAGTTGTGTGACATGTGTGCGCCAAGTGTTGGAAACGATCGGTTTCGTTAGGCAAGTGACGAACCGCCGAGTGAACTAGCGGACTGCCCGTTTTTTCCGTGGTAGTTCCCGCGCTCGTCTCTAGAGGGCCACCACCAGCGAATTAATTACGATATTGGAAAAAAAAATACGGAGTGTACCACCCACCTGCATGTGACGAACCGCCCAGTGAAGTGGTTGACCGCTCGTTTTTCCGTGGTAGCGCCCACGCTCCTCTCCAGAGAGCCACCACTAGCGATTCAAACGCGTGTTTGGGTGAACCACTTCGCATGCCGCCCCCACAGCAAGTCGACGCATCGTTAGACTACACACTTATAAAAAAAATAATGTAAATTTAGGTGCTCTGAGACTGACATATACGAACGTCAATTTTGCCATAAAATTGAGTCATAATAGACGCGAAATTCAGCTCAATCAAACGTACTTTTGAACTTTTCAGTCTCAGAGCACTTAATTTACATTACATGTTTGTTTACGTCTCATTTTTTATGTCAAAGATGGATTCCGTCACGTTAAAGATTAGGTATTTCTAAGTGTGTACGAGGGATAACGAGGGACACGGACGGGTTGCAATAGAATCGGGTAGAAACAATCGAAAAATATTTGAACCATGTATGTATGTATGTAAAGGAAACCACTCATTGTTGCAGGCACAACCTGACTGTCCATCTCATACGACTTGATCAAGTAAAACACCTGATTGTATTCCACTTACCATGAAGAGCGAAAAAAGCGAACCTGTAAGCAGATACATTTACGCTTAGTACGCGGGATCAAAGAGAATCTCCTTCCAAAAATAAAATCCTACAACCCGGTAATGTACAAGCCATCGCACTAGAGGATGTCCCAATGAGTGGGGAAGAAAATCCCGCCTTCAATGTTCGATCTGTTAACGACAGGAAGTTGGCAATTCCAGTCTCCCCATCCAAATCGCTTCAATCGGGTGCCCTGGTTGGACCGTCCCATACCCAGCAAATAATGTGTCGTATAATAATGGAACGAATGTTGAGACAACAATAAATGAAAGATCTCACCCGATATGTTGCAAAGGAATCCATGACTTCACGACGATTTCGAAGAGCTCCCATAGAGGACGATTTATATCCTTCTGCAGTTAAATAAAAACTATCGCCTCTAAAAGACTCGAAAAATCTGTGTACCAAAACTAACCCTGGGCAGAATAAACCAAAACAACACTATGAAGTATTCAACCTTTTTTTATGTTACTCCATACGCGAAGTTTGCGATTTTCAGAGTTGGTTGGAAATGCTATCTAACATGACACTTTAGTGTGATAATTTATTCGCTAGAGAATGATCTTAGAATAATAATTGTCGAGAGCACAGCGAGCAGCAGCAGAATTTTTTGATCCAGCCGAAGAACGATGGACAGGACTATGCAGCAGGTAAGTTGTTTCACTCACTTTTCTTTAATTTCAGGTTTCCTTGATGGCGGACCAGTCTCTCGGAAAGGTAAGGACTCACTCGCGAATAGTTAACTTAAACGCACTTTATTTTTAAACTAAGAGTACTTTAAACTACTTTAATTTACTTAACTTCACAATAACTACAATCTTAATACAATTTCACTTTTACTTTCACTTATTCTGGTTTGTTTTGATTCCACTCCGTCGATGATTGTTGACCGCTGATGATGACGTCGCTTGCAGAAAAAAGAGGATGGCTTCTGTCACACTTCGGCTTTTATAAGGGGCGCTCCGGAAGACGATGCAACGCCATGCTACCAATATACATTTCCCATTTGGGCGTTTATCGGTGTCGATGAACAAGGGATGATTCATTGTTGGTGGTGACCCCAGGTGGCGCATCAATGTAATTTCATCACATTCGTGGTAGCGAACATACTGGCCCCTTCAGGAACTCCGTTTCTGACACTGCAAATTCGATCAGCTGCTACCGGTCTCTTTCTAGCTGCGATGTCTCTATCATTCAAGCTGTCACTGCGATCGATGAACCTCGGACAGACGATTGTTTTGATTTCGCCGGACGAAAGTTCAAAGTGAAGATGGTCTGCAAAACATAAGACCCGGTAGCGGGGTTTTGTTTAATTAATTAGATTGGACAGGTGCTTACCTTGTCCTTTCTAATGAAAGGCATTGTATTTATATTTTAGGTACTCCTGCTGCAGAAGACAGTCGTGAACATCGGGATACGGCCATTGAAGGTGAATTTTGGAAGGCAAGTTACTGGATGGCTACGCTGTTGATGTTTTGGTCGGACGATGATTTCACTGGCAAGAGGCAAATTTTCGATACCGGACGGATGTAACGGCCGGTTGATGTTTGGACGGTGACTACCCGGATGTCACCATCGGGCCCGGGATGAGTCTGATGAATTCTTGCCATCGGCCAGTGCATCGGAGTAGTATTCTCATCGCGAAGAATGACGAGCTGATCTTGCTGCAGCTGAATAGGTGGATTGCACCATTTGCTACGTGGTTGCAATGTGGAAAGGTACTCCAGGTGCCACCTTTTCCACAATTCCTGGAACAGTTTTTGAACCAGATGCCACTGGCGAAGTCGATTCGTTACTATATCAGTGTAGTTGCCGTCTGGAACACTTTTGAGGGCAGATCCCGTCAGAAAATGCCCTGGCGTGAGTGGTTCGTAGTCAGTTGGATCATCGCTCAGTGCAATAATTGGTCGCGAGTTCAGGCAGCATTCGATCTGGCATAGCAACGTTTCCATGTCATCGAACGCAAGAGTATGTTTCCCTAGGACACGAATGAAGTGCTTTTGTGCTGAATGTATTGCGGCTTCCCATAAGCCGCCGAAGTGAGATGCCCTCGGAGGATTGAAATGCCAACGAATCCCTTGCTGATTGCACTCTTGAGTGATAGCGTTGCGATGCTCTTTGCTACTGACGAGATCTCGGAGTTCATTATTCGCTCCGACGAAGTTTCGACCGTTATCGCTATGCAGATCCGAACAAAGTCCACGGCGAGACACGAACCGACGAAGCGCTTGGATGAATTTTGGTGTGCTGAGGTCTGCTACCAGCTCCAAATGTACCGCTTTCGTGGAAAAGCAAACAAAAACAGCAACGTAGGCTTTCCCGGGTGCAGCACGGCGATGTATAGGCTTGAGCTGGATCGGTCCCCAATAATCGACTCCCGTGACAGTAAAAGGTCGACTCGCAGTAGTTCTCGATGCAGGAAGCTCGGCCATAAACTGCTCCAACATTCGAGGACGTGCTCGGAAGCAAGTGACGCACTTGTGGACCACACGCTTGGCCAAGTTTCTGGCCCCTATGATCCAGTACCGCTGTCGAAGAAGATTGAGGAGCAATTGTGGAGCTGCGTGGAGATGTCGTTCGTGATAGCTGCGGACCAAAAGCGACGATAGTGTATGCGATGATGGTAGAAGGATTTGATGCTTGCTGTCATACGGTTGCTGTGCATTTCCCAATCTGCCACCGATCCGAATCAGCTGTTCGGACGAGATGAATGGATGGAACCACTTGAGGCGGGACTTTACTGATATTCGTTCCGAATGTTGAAGCTGCTTCCACTCTTCGCTGAAGGCTTGTTGTTGGACCAATCTCATGAGTAAACTTTCCGCGTCTAACAACTCCTCTCGTTTCAGAAGGGTAGATTTTACTCGGTCGCTGGATTGTTTTCGACAGTTTTGAAGAAAACGAAGGCAGTATGCTACTATACGCAAAAGACGTTGGTAGTCGGAGAATTTTTCGACGAGCAGGTCGACGAAAGACGGTTCATTCGGAGACGATGGTGCTGCTATGGAGATTCGGCGTGCTTCTTCCAACGCGTCAGAGGGTTGATCATGCGTACCTTTAGCTATTGGCCAGCTTTCTTGGGGTTGTCGAAGCCATTCAGGTCCTTGCCACCATAGATCGAAGCCGATGATAGCGTCGGCCGCTATTCCACGAGAAATGCAGTCCGCGGGGTTCTCTAGCCCAGCAATATGATTCCACGAGCAATGTTGAGTAGCAAGTTGGATTTTCGACGTTCGGTTGGCAACGAAAGTGTTCCAAGCAGATGGAGACGCGTTGAGCCAGCAGAGTACAACGGTGCTGTCGAGCCAAAAATAGCATTCTGCGTCGAGCTGAAGTGACGATTTCACCTTCTCGAAGAGTTGCGCTGCTAGAAGTGCTCCACAGAGTTCGAGTCGTGGAATCGATTGCTTTTTGAGGGGCGCCACTCTCGATTTTGCAGTGAGAAGAGCAACCTTTACCATTCCAGAGGCGTCAGTTGACCTGACATAAACACAAGCTCCGTAAGCGAGTTGCGAGGCATCGGCAAAGATGTGGATCTGGATGGATTCTGGTTCGGGTAGCAGGATACAGCGGTCGATGCGAAGCTCGTTGAGTCTCGGTAGCTGTGTCTGGTAGTTGGTAAACCGGGTTTGATACTCGATTGGTAACTCCTTGTCCCAGCTCCACGATGATCCATCGTCATTTTTCAGCATCCACAGGTTTTGCATAAAAACTTTGGCAGCAGTTACGACGGGGCCTACTAGGCCGAGGGGGTCGTAGAGGCGAGCGATCAGCGAAAGAGCAATCCGTTTGGTGATAGACTTTTCTGCTGTGTCGGATGGTAGGTCGGCCTTGTACCGAAGGCAATCTGGTTCCCAATGCAGCCCGAGAGTTTTGATGACCTGATCTCGATCGAGGTCTACGGAATTCTTTAGTGCGCGATTCTCCGGTGGAATTCCTTCGAGTACTGCTTCGTCGTTCGAAGCCCACTTTCGTAATTGAAATCCACCCTTTGCTAGGAGTGCATCTAGCTGGTTCCTGAGTTCGATTACTTCTGCTGCGTTGTTTCCGCCGGAAAAGAGGTCGTCGACGTAGACATCCTTCTTAAGAGCCTTGGCTGCGAGAGGAAAATGATGACCTTCGTCGTCGGCAAGTTGGATCAGTACCCGAGTGGCAAGGAAAGGAGCGCTGGCGGTACCGTACGTTACGGTCTTCAGTTGGTATGTCTCCATCGGATGGTCCGGTGACGGTTTCCAGACGATGAGTTGGACTCGGCAGTCACGAGGGTCGACGAGAACTTGACGGTACATCATCTTCGCATCGGCAACTACCATTACTTGATGCTTTCGGGAGCGCATCGTGATCGATCGAATGTCCTCTTGCACCGTTGGTCCAACCATCAGAGCGTCGTTGAGCGAAGGTCCGTTCGGGGTTTTACACGAGGCATCGAAGACGACCCGTAACTTCGTCGTCGTGCTTTCCTCGCGTATCACAGCGTGATGTGGAAAGTAGTAGTTCTGAACTGCTGGATTCTCATAGTCGTGGATGCGCTGCATGTGTCCGAGATGGAGATATTCGTCGATGAATGCCTTGTACTGTTGATGAAGGTCGTGATTGCGAACCAGACGACCTTGAAGTAAGTGAAATCGACGAACAGCAGTACGACGGTTGTCAGTGAGTTGGTTAAGCACGTCTTCCTTGAAAGGCAAGCGGACTACGTAACGTCCTTCCGGGGTACGAGCTACAGTTCGCTGAAAATGTTCCTCGCATGCTGCTTCTTCGACGGAGTACGCTGTCGATGAGCTGTCTTCCTCGATTGTCCAAAATTTCTCCATAAGTTTATGGATATCGGTGACGGTAGCGACGGACGGACTGATAGTGGACTTTCCAGCTACTACCCAACCAAATACGGAGTTAACTAGAACTGGAAGATTGTTTCCGAGAGGAATTCTACCTGCGACCTTGAACACGTCGAAAAAGATTTCGGCGCCGATGATGATATCCACAGGATTAGTGCTGTCAAACGACGGATCAGCAAGTTGAATGCTGGGTGGCATGTCCCAAGTCGAAGTGTCCACGGATGTAGCAGGTAGATCGATGGTGTTTGCGGCCAGTAGAAGCGCAACTGATTGACTCGACGACCGTGGCAGACGCAGACGTGGTTGGAGGATCGGTAGCTAGGGTAGAAGTAGCAGATTTCGATTGCTGGAGGCTGACAGACTTAGAGTTCGACGATGAAGAAGAATCATTCGGGCAGAGCTGGGTATGATGACGTCCACGACACTTGCGGCAGTTGGTGGATGACGAACAATCCCTCGAGTGATGACCTTTTCGCAAGCAATTCCGACAGAGTTGATGACGACGGACTTCTTTCTCCTTCTCATCGATCGAAAGCTTAGAAAAACTCCCACATAGATATAGAGGGTGGTGGTCGAAACAAATGACACACTTCCGAACATTGAACTGGCTGGCTCCGTGGCTCGAGACGGAACGTTGAACTAGCTTCTTCTGTGCTGTTGACGGTTGCGCTTCGATGGTCTTCGCTTGGATGGATTGCAGCACCGTGACTCGTCGCTGGATGAATGACGTCAGCTCTTTGAAGGTGATCGCTTCCTTGGTCGAAGAGTACTCCTCCCAATCTCGCCTTGTCGTCGGATCAAGTCGAATGCTGAGCATGCGGATCAGCAGAATGTCCCAGTAGAACCTTAACGTTTGCCTCAAACTTCTCTACCAGACTGTGAAGTTCCGCTGCCGATTCTCGTTTGAGTGAAGCGAAGTCAAAAAGGGCGTCAACATACGACTGCTTCAGACGAGCAGGGTTCTGGAAGTGTTCCAGCAGAAGATTCCAAGCCACCGGATAATTGTTAGCGCAAATCGGGATACTTTGAATAAGCTGCAAGGCTGCATTCGACAACGACGATCGAAGGTAGTAAAACTTTTGTATGTTCGATAGACCAACCGACGAGTGAACCAACGACACAAATAAATCGTGAAAATTCATCCAATTCTCTAGCTTTCCATCGAAGACGGGGAGTTTAACGTCGGGCAAACGCACCTGCGATGCCGACGGAAGGAGTTGTGCCTCTGATTTATTTGGAAACGGGTGTGTAGGTGTAATTGGAATTTTATTACGGGCCAGCAGAAAGCCCTTCACGTAGTAATATGCGGACTCCAGCGATGTCCGCTCTTTTAAGTGATCCTCAATGGCAGCTTCGTCTAGCGTTTCCAGCTCGCTCTGGACGGTGTTGTAGTCCGACCATAGTCTAATCAGACTCTCCAACCGCACAGGCACCTCATCAGCTTGCGTTTCTTCGTCGAAGTCGCCGACGAATGATTTGATGAGGTTTAGTGACGTCACCAGGCTTTTTAGTCGCAGTTGCAACAAAAAAAAAACAAAATTTACTGATAGGATAAAAAAATGTGATTTAAGAAGATTCCCAAGATTCTGGAGCTTTGAAATTTGTGTAGAGTCTGAAACTAAAACTTTTCTTCAAAATTTGTGATTAATAACATGCTTCGTGATACAAGATTTGGAGAAACAATAATTAAAATGTGAAATTTTGAATTTTTTTCAAGATCACAGATTTATAAAAAAAAAAAACATCATACTTATGAGTCGTGGAGTCATAATTGTCACGCTCTGAGACTTGGAAGCATTTTAAGGGTAATAACAAATTACATAGCAATCTGTAGAATCTGGCGGACAAACCCTGGAATTTTTAGTAAAATTTAAAAGAATTCAAAGTGTTGATTAAAAACAAATATTGAGAAGGATTCCCACACAGTTTTCGAAGGAGAAGAGCAGATTTCCAGAATTATTCTTAGAATTATTTAAGAAATCCATAAAAATTGTTTGATGAATTTGGAAGGATTTCTTTGGAGAAGAATGCAAGTTCTAAATTAAACTGTTAGGTAATTTTAGTAGATTTAAAAAAGAATTGTGAAAATAAAAATAAAACATTGCAGAAAATTCCTACGTGGTTCAGATGAGATTTGTATGGGCATCGTGAGGAACATGACAGATGAATTTTAAGAAGAATTCCAAGAGAATTATGATCGGAATTCAACAAGAAACAGAGTTCTTAAAATGTTCTGGCAATAATTTTAACCCTAGTGCGAATGATTCATCACATAACCCAAACAAAATTGATTCCAAAAAAATTGCTGATAATTAGAAAGAAATTCTTTAAAATACTCCAAGGGGTTTATAAATTAATTTTCGTAACATTTCTTTCGTTTTGAATAAAGTTAAAATAAATGTTTGAACAGATTTTTAAAGGAATTAAAGTCTCCGGATAGGCGGGAACGGGAATTATATGAAGGATTCCAATAAATTCTTAGAAGGGGTTGGAAGAAAATCACTAAAAGAATTCAACGGTAATTATTACGCGGAGTGTTTTCTGGTTTATTTCTGAACAATTTCAAGATAATTCAGAGCAGAATTCCAAGTTAATTCTGGAATTCAACATGAGAATTTTGAACAACGAAAAATTAAAACCCCGGAAAAGAATAATTCAGTTTCGGTTTTTACAAATATTTGTTTCCAAACTCCAGCATCTTCAATATTTTCTTTAGAGGACCATGCACTTTACATCTGAAATTGAAACGACAAAAATCAATTTGCAATATTGCTGAGTGATTAAATTCTAAAAACAATAAGACGGTATACTGAAGAAAATTATGCAACAAATAGAGCAAGACATTCATTTGCTGAACGATCACTCTGTTTTAATGGTTTATTCTGAAATTCTGATGTAAAAATTTGTTCCTATGATATGGTTAATTTATTTTCCCGGTTCTCTTGCAGAATTCACGGGTTTTTCCCGGTTTTCCCGGTTACTTTCCAAATTCCCGGATATTTCCCGGTATTCCCGGATTTCCCGGTTTGCTGGCCACCCTGGGACCAGCGTAGCACGCACAAAGAAAAAGTAAAAGAAGTTGGAGAGCTAATTACCTGCTAGAGGCAATAAATTGCCTTGAATTTTGCGGAATTCAGCCGTTCTACACCGTAGCAGAAATCTCCCTGACGGATGAAATCAATTGAAGCAGTGGAAGTCGTAGAATGCAGAAGATGGGTCTGAAAGCGAAAGACCCGCGTAGCTCACAAAAACCAGAAATAGAGAGTTGGAATATTAATTACCTGTTCTAGGCAATTAATTTGCCTTGTATCGCATATGTCAGCTACGAATTGGGAAGATGGCGTTCCTTAGCGGGTTATTCAGCCGGAACAATGGCGTATTCTGAGCCAAATCTCCTTGGCCTCATCAGAGGACGAAATGGTGGATTTGCGATGGCGACTCACCAGGCGCTGGACTGCCGAACTAGCGGAGATTCGACACTAATCCGGTTCGAAGGACCAAAATGTCGAGAGCACAGCGAGCAGCAGCAGAATTTTTTGATCCAGCCGAAGAACGATGGACAGGACTATGCAGCAGGTAAGTTGTTTCACTCACTTTTCTTTAATTTCAGGTTTCCTTGATGGCGGACCAGTCTCTCGGAAAGGTAAGGACTCACTCGCGAATAGTTAACTTAAACGCACTTTATTTTTAAACTAAGAGTACTTTAAACTACTTTAATTTACTTAACTTCACAATAACTACAATCTTAATACAATTTCACTTTTACTTTCACTTATTCTGGTTTGTTTTGATTCCACTCCGTCGATGATTGTTGACCGCTGATGATGACGTCGCTTGCAGAAAAAAGAGGATGGCTTCTGTCACACTTCGGCTTTTATAAGGGGCGCTCCGGAAGACGATGCAACGCCATGCTACCAATATACATTTCCCATTTGGGCGTTTATCGGTGTCGATGAACAAGGGATGATTCATTGTTGGTGGTGACACCCAGGTGGCGCATCAATGTAATTTCATCACATTCGTGGTAGCGAACAATAATGTAACAACTCAAGGCGAGAGTAGCCGCCAACAATGCTGATGATGGTACAGCACGCAACAACCATCCTACTGCTTTCTTTCTGAGATGACCAAGTTGGTCATGACGAGAGGAACAACACAATAGTTGGGTCAAGAAGAATTGCATTATAACACACCATCGACTGGAAATGCTCTCGCAACGTGGGGCTTTAGGTAGTGATGAAACGTCGCTAGAACCATTCCACAGTCGCAGTAAGTAATGAGCAAAAGGCGGACGCACATCTTTTGCCTGTAGACTTGAAGACATACTTCAAGTCTCCGCGAACATCGTACGGGTTAGGCAAAAGGTGTGCGTTTGACTTTATACTGTCGCGTTAATGGCCCTTCACTCATTTTCAACCTCTATTCAATTTTCATACTGCCGTACTCTAACGGAACTATCCACCTACCCTCTTCTAAGATCATTCTCTAGCTAATAAATTATCACACTAAAGCTTGATGTTAGATAGCATTTCCAACCAACTCTGACTATGAAGTAGAAAATCAGATTACAATAGTTTTTATTGTTCGCAAGGCAACTCCCTGGTTTAAGTGTGTGAGATCGGTTTATGCAGATTCAGTTTTCCCCCGATATCTTACTATTGGCTCTACAGGGTGCGTGACGAATTTTTGCAGTAAATTTCAAATAGTAATTTCTCATGCTTGTGCATCATGATTTAGATATATTTGGCAGCACTGGATAGCTTGTACTGTTAGGTGTAAGATTTCAACAAACAATGTTGAGTAAACGTAAAGATGTCGAAACAAGAGAGCAATCTGTCAGCCGTTGTCACTTTGTTGCGCGCCGGAGTATGCACGAAAGAAATAATTCGGTCGGTAAATGTGTCTGAAAGAACAGTGTATAATATTAAAAAAGGCTTGGGAAAGTGATAAGACGGAGCACCTGCTCATACTGCTAATAAAGCACAGGAATGGGTTACGGTAAATATTTCGTAAATTTGGGAGGAAGAAATTTGGCCCCCAAGCAGTCCCGATATCAATCCGTTGGATTATTTTGTATAGGGCGTCGTCCAACGGGATACCAATAGAACCCCTCACACCACACTTAAGTCGCTAAAAGCTAAAATCAAGGCAGTGATGACATCTATGGATCGAAACATTTTAAAACGTGCATACTGCAGTTTCCGGAAGCGTCTAACTACAGTCGTCGAAAGGGAAGGCAATTTTTTTGAATAAATTTACTTACAACTTCCATATGTTGCGAAAGAAAATAAATCGCACAAAATTCATTGCTAGAATAACTAACTGGTGTATTTTTTCTCAAATATGCCATTTACTGCAAAAATTCGTCACGCACCCTGTAGACTTGGAAAACCTTCAAAGGAAACCCTAAATTAAATTCTTTTCACTCATCTTTCATGTTCCGTTCATTAGTCTAATTTTCAGTAAACCGCTTATAGTAGTTTATATTTGACTACGGCAAAAATAATTACTAACTCGTGAGTATTCTCTACGCAAAACAAAGTTCAATTGACTCAAATTTGAGAATATCTCATATACTCACTAGTAGCTTATTGAACGATAGTCATGAGAAAATCGAATCTCTCGTTCCGTTTTTGACAAAAAGTGAGAGTGAGGTGCAAAACTCAAAATTACCCAAAATTAAGTAAAAAGAACTTAAATTTAGGGTAATTTTTTTTCTCTGTGCAGAGAAGCTCACTCAGAAGGACTTTTCCCGCAGCAGGACCCAACGACCAGGCCACCTATACCGTACGGAGAGGGAGAGGGAGATGGAGAGGG